ATTGGAGGATTTTAGAAATAGTAAATGAAATGCCAGTATGTGGTTATGTATTAAATCTTGGTATATTTTATGATGAAGGACATTTAGACAACTAGTCAAATGAAAATGGAGGTACGATGATGGTAACATGTATAAATATCTGAGTTAAAATACGAGTTAATATAAATTATGCTTGATGACTGTGGAAGAGATGCACGAAAGTCTTTTGGAAGCAACAGATACACTTTCTACAGTATGTAAAAAAGGAAGATTTTATGTGTTGTTTGTTTTGGAAAAAAAACTTTATTTCAAAAAAAAGATGCATCACTTATCACACATACACCCAGGGGACTGCAACTGTCATAAATATGAACCAATTGCCAAGCATCTGAAATTTTATCACATGACTGCATTGGTTGTAAGTGTGAAAAACGGTCATAAGTCACTTTTTTCAGTGCCGTTGTAACTTTGAATGGTCACTAAATGAACTGTTGTAAGTCAAGGACTCCCTGCATGAGGAAAATCTGGACAAGGGACTAAGATGCCATCTGTGCTGAGCTCTTGGAGAAGAGGCCGACCACAGGTAAGTCTGAAGGAAATGCAACTGGTCACACCAAAATGGAGAATGTGGGGGAGAGAAAGGGAGGGAAGGGAAGGGCTCCACTCACCCAGCCAGGTCAGGGGGAGAGTAGGCCCAGAGCGGCCGCAGGGTGTCCGAGGGGCTCTTCCAGCCAGCCGCGTAGCTGGTGGTGTCAAAGCTGTTGGGACTGAAAGCGCATCTTCTCTTTGTCCCACTGAGAACCTCTTCCAGCGAATTGAAGCACCCTGTTGGGAGAAGGGAGCGCCATGTTTTCTCTGCTTGGTCCTTCAAATGGGCTTCTTCTATCCAGAGCTGCCTTCTCCAAAGACAAAACCATCAAGCCAACTGTTTCAAGGAAGACTCCGTCACGAGAGCCAAAGGTGTCTAAAGGTTGAATCGTGGCAACCAGAGCAAACTTGGTTTTGGTCATCAAGTCACACTCCATTTTGTGTTGTTTACTTGGCAACAATGCCTAACCGGAAGTGCCTGGTGGTTGTTTTCATCCCAAGTGTTTTTTCAACTTCCCAGGTGGGACTCTCTCAGATTTCTTGCTGCTCTCCTCCTCCTCCTCCTCCTCCTCCTCCTCCTCCTCCAGGGCCTAGCCAGGTCTGGCCCTGCTTAGCTGCCTGGGCGATGCTCCTGAGGAGGCCTTTTTCTCTCGAACCTCTTTTATGATTCTCAACTCTGCTCTTCCAGCCATGGACAGGAGAGCGTGCAGCATTGGGGGTGGGGGTGTCCATTTGTCTTTTAATGGGACTGACAAAGGGTTGTATAGGTTGGGAGTGCCCCTAAAGGAGAGGTGGGACACCCCACTCATCTGGCCCAGAGGAAAAGGATCCGAGAACCTGGGCCTCTTAAGAGTGGCATGCAACCCCGGGGGCGGTTGCTGGCTTGAGGCCGCTCCCTCCACCTTTTTCGACGTTTGCAATTCTGAACATACCGTATTTTTTGGACTATAAAACGCACCAGTGTATGAGACGCACCAAGATTTCAAAGTGGTAAGTAAGAAAAAACAGTTTTTGTCCTCCCTGGGCCCCAGCAGCACTCTGAAGCCTTCAGCAGAGCTGGGGGGAGGCAAAAACGCCATCTTTGCAAAAAATGGATGGAAGATGAGTCGGTTTTTTGCAAAAACAGGAGTTTTTGCAAAAATGGGATGCAGGGGCAGGACTTCGGAAGGCCAGAAATAGCTGTATTCAGTTTATAACCAACATTTCCATGCTATTTGGGGGAGTGGGGTGTCTTATACACTGAAAAATACAGTATTTAACTCTTTTAACTCTGCTTTTGATTTTTTTAAAAAAATGTATCTCTTTTTATGCTTTTTATTTGTAAATTGTCAAATTTGTAAGAGTACAATTGGTGAGACAGTGATGTGGAAATTTGCTAAATAAGAAAGCATGTTCTGATTCAGTCCAGATATCAGGAAAGGCTCCATATTGATGGAATCAAACGGGAGATTCATGGTCAAGAAATCATAGAGCGGGAGAGATAAAATCTGGAGCACCTGTGTAAACCAAAGAAGGCTTTGGTAGAAGACGACACACAAAATAAGACACTGGCAGTGAGGAAACTACCCTTGTTTCTTAAACCAATTATTTCTATTCCACATCTGGAACATGGTGCACAATTACTAATGGCAATAGCACTTAGTTTTATATACCGCTTTACAGTATATACAGTATATAAACCGCTTAGAGGGTGGTTTACAGTCAGCATACTGACCCCAACAATCTGGGTCTCCATTTTACTGACCTCAGAAGGATGGGAAGCTAAGTCAACCTTGAGCCTATCAGGATCAAACTGCTGGCAGTCGGCAGAGTTAACCTGCAATGCTGCATTCTAGCCACTGCGCCATCAGGGCTCACCACTAAACAGACAAAAACCTGCTCGTTTCCCACTTACCTTCTTGCACACGGATTTGCCGGAGTCTTGGGACCCCCAGAGTGATACCTGAGCTTCCCTGGGCAGAGCGATTCTGATACAGAAAGGGCAACAGTCCCTGCGTGGCCCAAAGCCAGAAGTCATCGGATCTGCACCAAGATGATGAAGGAGGAAAAGCAGAGAGTGACTGTGCTCAGCACGGAAGATGCTCATCCCAATTTCAAAGCCCCCTCTGGTCCCTGCCAAGCCCTGTTCTCCCTTGGCTGGAGCTGCCCTTTCCATCCTTACCCTCCTACTCTCTTTTTCTGTGCCCAGAAGGGGGTCTCCACCGCAGCCCCTGGATTCTGGGCCCAAGAGAGCCGATCTAAGCCCTCCCTGTCTGCTCTGCCATGGGGGCCACGCAAGGCGTGAAGTTTAGGGCCGGAGCAGTGTGATTGCCCCACCTCCCCTCCTGGGGCTGCTCTCTCTGGGTCTGCGCGGGAGAGGAGCTGGGGTAATCCTTCCGTGGGGCAAGCTGAAAAGGACCTCATGAACCCCACAGGCCCTATCCACTGGCACCTTTTCTTTGCACTATTTGTCGGTCAGTTTATCTGGACTGCCCAACCCCAAAACAATTAAAGAGGCACATGTATGTACGTTCAAAAATAAACTTACAAACAAACATGGCAGGAAACAATATACATTCCAGATCTGAATGTGATCTCCTAGCCTGCCCAATGAATCCTCACTCAAGGTCTGGGGGGGGGGGGGAGGAGAAGGGAGTTTTAGGGGCTGCTTGAAGCGGGCCAAGATGGACAGGAGAGGCTGCTCCAAAGGAAAGGGGCAGCTGCTCAGAAGAATCCCTTCCAGAATTCTGCTAGAAGCAGCTTTTCTACTGACGGATCCAAAACCAGTCAGCCCTGGGGGAGCAACCAGGAGGGCAGAGACAGGCAGCCCCTCAAACACCAAGGCCTGGATCAGGCCGGGCTGAGAGGTGAGAACAGTGCCTTGAATTGCACCTGATGCCAAATGGCAACCAGGGCAGCTCAGGACGTAGTGAGATGGACATAGTGAGGCTTCTCCATCTCAGTTTGAATCCTCTCCCTCCTCCGATCCCAACTGGAAGGGGACAGAGAGAGCAGGAGGGGCACTACAGATCCTGCCTCCCAGGCTTTGATTTCCTGCGGTCGATCCAGAATGAGATCACCATCAATGATATCAAAGGCCACTCGGCTCCGGGAGGGCCAAGACAGTTCCGCCATCCACATCCCAGTTCGACAAGGTCCTTGAACAAGCCTGACCAATGCCATCTCCTGTTCTGACCTGGGCTTCGCAAAATCACAAAGCAGACTCCTTGTCCCAACAAAACCCCTTTGTATTAAGCTCACGTGGATTCCTCTCATTCACATTCAGCAAAGTCCCGGCAAACAGACTTTCAAGGGGGACTTTACAAGCACAGTGTCAGGCCTGCGGCTGGTTCCTTTTGGGATCTTTGGCCTGGCACACTAATATTCTATTCTACTATGCTGTTTCATTAGTGGGGAATTAGGAGGGGGAATAGTAAGGAGTAGAATGTGATGATGTCAAAATAAAATTCCTTTCTTTCAAGGTCATTCTTTATCTCTGCACCTCTGCACCTGGACGGAAGTGGATGGGTGGCACTGCCAGCATGGCAGTGGGGGGTTCTACCACAAAACCACGTTCGACTAAACCGCGTAGCTGACGTCATCAACAGGGCGACAACAGCGCAGAGACAGAAGCACACTGTAAACGCTAAACCTAAAATTAACCCCTAAACCTAAACCTAACCCCCCTAAATCTAAACCTAACCCTAAACCTAACCCTTAACCTAACCCTAAACCTAACCCTAAACCTAACCCTTA